CATAAACCGTATACAGATTTACATATGCATAAAAAGTATGAAGTTTTTTAAAAGATATGCTAAAAGATTGAACAAATAATAAAATTATATTTGAAAAGTATTTGTAACATGTAGCAAATAAACATTCTATATCATCGAATTGAAATATAAATATAGGAAAGATATGAATTAAAAATATTAGATGTCTTTCTCCTTCTTTCTCCGTTCAATCTGTTCATTTACAATATTTATATTTTTTTGATTTACAGAAGTCTTTTTTGTATAGTCGCAATGAAACTGATTATTAATTCTACGATCGTTTTTTTTTTTTTAGAAACGAGAAACGATAAAATACGATTGCTGTGAAGATTTAGTTATCTAGATACGTCAAGCATCAACCATCATGTGTCAAGAGATTTTTGAAAAATAGGATTATTGATGGGACATAGTTGTAATGCATAGCGAACATGTCCCAAAAAGCCTGTCAATCAGGAAAAGATACGCAGTAACATCTCTCTCTGGGAATTGTCGCTATGGATATTTGCAACGAGATGCTACCATGTATCTTGATAAAATATAACAAGTAAATTTTTCCTTTCATAGCTATACTTAAACATGAAGTTGAGGCAATACATGTGGGCATGTACATGATAATATAACGATATCTTGCATCCATACATATTTTGTCATTTAACATTAACATTTGTGGTTATCTCTCTTTTTTGATCTCTTATTCTGGCCTTATAATTTGATGGCAGTTTTCACGCACTTTTTCTTCATCTTCTGGGCAAAGTTTTATATGGCCTATGAAAGTATAAGGATATGGTGGATAGTAAAATATGAATTGTGGTTGATTATCAGTCATGTTCCTTTGACAAGGTATAGGTACAGTTGTTGTTATCAATATTGCACTCAGCAGGATCTTTACGAGAAGCTCCATTTATGAACAATATCGGAAAACTTGAGAAAACTCAATAAAAAAATCGAAATTCGAATATCCGTTAATTTCTAGTTTATCTCCTTTCCTTTTAATTATGTCAAATGTTCTTGATTTCTCACTTGTATATTATTTTTGCAAAATTTTTAGCAATTTTTGTTTTCTAATTTATATTATATAATATATTTATTTTTCTTTGGTAACTTGTTGTTACTTTTCTTGTTTGATTTACAAATTTGATTGTTACGTCCTGACACGTAAACGAATTTTACCTGTAAGCTTCTTACGAACTCGATATTTATATTCTTCCAATTGCGAAAGCTTTTATGCAGTAAACTGATTAATAATGATATTCTTGTCGAGTTTCTAAAAATGTTATTTTTTTTTATAAAGATTTACGATAATGTAACAAGTACATCAATCTTGAAACTTTACATGCCAATTAAAATTTAAAACGTGAAATAATGCCTCGCCAAAGAAAGCTTACCGCACAATAAATAAGATTGTATTATAATTTATAAAATAAATGATAACAAATATATATTCCGAATATATAAATATATATATTCAAATTATTACGTTTGAATATTAAAACGCAAAAAGATGAAGAAAGATACAATCGACATTATGAATTTAAAATTATGACTTTTTCGCTTCATACATTCATTTTTATAATAATGTTACACAGTAAATACCTTTTTTTTATTACGGCGAACTACGAATGATCGTGCGACATATTCCATGAACTTTTCTCTGACCTGGTGGACAAGGCTCTCTGTTTGGCACTATTATTATTGAATTAGTATTTCGAATTTCAGCAATGTCTATGCCTTGATGACAAGTTCCAGGTAGAATCACAGTGATCATCAGCAACGCAAATACTAGCAGAATGTTTGTAAATAATTTCATTTCGACGCGGTGATACTAAAATTTAATTACGAATGTTTGCGATTGCTTTTTATATGAATCTAGAGACTAGATTCATATAAAAGCAATCGCAAACATTCGTTATTATTAAGAAACACTGATTATGTTTTGCATCAGCATCATCTCATACGTAATATATGTATATATACATATATACATATATATATATACATATATATATATATATATACACACACACACACACACACACACACATATATATATATATACATATATACATATATATATATATATAAATCAAATAGTTGATAATTTAAAAGATGTATATGAAAAATTATAACGAATATTTATGATAATTGATGAATAAACATCCACATTTCCACGAAATTATTAAATATAAAGATGAAACAAAGTTTGAAAAAAAAAAACCGTCTACGATAACCTCTTCCTATTGATTTCTCACATTTACTATTAGGTTACTCGACTATCTCGTCAATGTTGACAGGCAATACTTTACATACATTAAAGATTATGCAACTTTTCTTCGCAATTTTATCCTATTTTCCTTTCTTAAAATTTATCTTCAAAATTCCCTTAATTTTTTTATATTCTTTGAATAACAACTTTCTTTTTTACAGTACTTCCGCTTTATAATTTTATTACTGTCTATAAACTTACAAGAATTTCCCTGACATTTCTTAAACTATAACTCCTGCCCACTTTATTCCTTTGGGAAAGAAGCATACACGTTGCTGCTTTTTTCTTATATGTCCGTTATTTATAGACTTTACGTACTTTCAATTCCATTAGTGTGATGAAAAAATTGATTATAAAGATCTGCTAAGATCTGGTTTCATACGAGCTTGTAACTTTAATGTTACAATAAGCGCAATAGATCTATCGTGGTTAAATTATATAATAGTATATAACATAAATGTATCGATGTTTTATTCAGAATATAGTATATTCAGAATATAGTAGTTCATAGTAGAAAATATTGTGCTATTCTGTTATTATACGCTGCTACTACGATATTTCGAAACTTCGCGTCATATGTAGCTTTCAGCTGACATACCTGAAAAGCTGAGTTTCCTGCAAATATTTGCCAGTAGACATTAAAGATACGTTTTTCTCGAAACAATTTGTTGCGAGATAGAATATGTAGTTTCTGATAAGCACTAAAGTTATCTTCAATAAAGTTATCTCAAAAATAGAATTAATGCCTGAATCGGAGGATATTAATATCAAAATTTTATTTTTGTTATCGAGGTTGAAGTAAACAAATAAATTTGCTCAATATCAGATGCAGTTAGATAAATAATATTGCAATGCAATTTATCCTTAATATCTGGTCTGGTTAAAATAAATAGCTTTTGAAAAATATATATTTTAGAGTTTAATTTATTGATCACTCAGAGGATTATATATAAGTAAAAAAATTGAACAATTAACATTAATACTAAAATTGGTAGATAGTTTTCTATTAATATCTTACAGTAGATTTATAGATTGAATTCATTTTTTTTTGATTATAAAGGATTTTATTGAATAACACAATATTTGATATTAATATTGAAATTGATATATGTTTTCTTTATAATTCATTAGCTTATACATTACTGTCTTAAATTAATGTATTATCTTCGTTGAGTTATGCAGCAGATTTTATATTATTCAAATTATTGATATTCTTGAATCTGCAAAAAAGATGAAAGATTAAAATGGAAAAAGAAAAGATTAAAAAGAGATACAAATATGAAATGTAAATGTTAAGGAAGATTAAAATTTCTAACAATGTATTTTAAGCTTATCTAGCATACATCATTCTAGCATACATTGTTTCTCAATTTTTAAATAATATCATATAACTTTATTCGTTTTTATCGAATGCGATGTGCAATTTATAAAATATTGGAAAGAATGAAAAATGGTAAATACACACAATACAAAAAATTACATTTCAGAACTTTATTTAATTAAATTAGTTTTAATTTAATGTAATTTAATTATTGCTTTTATATTATCCAACAATTTCTGTTTCTGAAATTAATTTCCGTAATAACTTGAACAATATTCGAGCGCAAAACAATATCTTTCTTATTTATACTTATAGTATTATTTTATGCTATATAATTTTATAAAATTTGGCCAAGTTTTACGTGAAGCAGATGTTTAGAAATTTGTGCTATTTATTCGCTAGTTAAATCGTTTTTCGAAATACTAGTATATTATAATTATATTATAATTATTAGATACCTTAATATCATTGTTATAATTATAATACGTGAGGTAACCTATCTGTCCTACCGCCGACTTTTCCTTTCCTCAGTGGAACCGTAATGAAATGGCGAAAGATAGAGATATTATAGTTAGAGCTACGATGGATGTTGTTGTTCTTAATAGGCGATACAGTAGCTTTACATGTGCCCAATGGTATCACTATAGCCGCGATTACCATGATTCGTAAGAGAACATTAAGAAACACCTTCATCGTGAGACTTTCTTTCACGAGCTAAAGAAGATAATTAAATCACAAGTATAATTGTGTATATGTATTATCCAATTTCTTATAACTACTATAAAATTCTAAAATTTCTATATAAATTTCTTTTTTCATTAATTTTTTTTCAATTCCAGACATGTTACAATAAAAATTATAATAAAAGTTATAATACAAGTTTTTCTCTCTTCCATTCTGTTTTGTAATTTTTTTGATTGTTAATAATTTTACCACAATTCTTCCCTTTTCCGGGCAAATTCCTGACAGTCCTGATCGTTTCGAAAGATTAATCCACGTTGTTACTTCTTTAATCAGCCTGTTATATATAATCCATGTTTATCTATTTACGCAAATTTTATTACCGTTACGTAAGAAAAACTGGTTAGGAATCTCTTAATATACCATCTTTTAAATTAACGAGAAATTATAATTGCTAAGATTGGACGAATTTGTAGTCGAAGGTTAAACATATAATTAGTACTGACTTGCATATATTTCAGAATACTTTAAAAGTTTTTCCTTGTCTATCATAAGAAAATGATTAACTGTATGTTGAATAATAAAGAAATAACACGCTCTCTAAAACTAGGATTTAAAATCTATTAATTTATTAAGTTTTATAAGAAGTATTATTAAGTAATGCAATATTTGATGTTAGAAAATATATATTTTTTCTTTATAATTTATTAGTTTGTACATCATCCTCTTCAAAATAATTTATCTTTGTTGAATTATTCAATAAGTTGTAAATTATAAAAGCTCTCAACATTCTTGAACCTGAAAAAAACACATAAAGAATCAAAATGAAGAAATAATATACAAAAATCTAAAAATTAAGAGAGATTATAGAATCTCCAACGTTTCTGGATTATTGATTTTTGCATTTTACAATTAAATTTAACATTAAATTTAACAAATTTTTTCAGTAAATATCTTTTTATATATTAAAACTTTTATTTACATTTCTTAAATATCGATATACAACATGTAAAATAATAAAGACTATAAAATAAAGCAGTGAGTAAAAATCTATGTTCACTAACTTAAACCAATGTTAAACTTTCTATATTTCTATATAATTTTCTATATTTCATAAATTCGACTATTACGAAATTTGTTTTCCTAGCTTACTATAATACTGGTACACATAATCTACGTATTTGGGTTTCTTAGTTTTTTTTTATACTACCGAAAATGTTGGCATAATTATATTTGCAGATTTATATTTTTTTAGTAAGGAAATTGTAGTTTAAATATTAAATTGATAATTACCTATTTCCTTCTATCCCGACATCACTAGTCGAGGTCTCCCTGCGACAATTTTGATCTTAGATTGATTAGACATTTGCGCGTTGTGATTTCTTGGAGGAGCTGTAATAATTGTACGTATGTCCTCATAATTTTGTGATATCACCATGACGATCATCAGCATCAGGATCATTATCAGGAAAACATTAAGAGATATTTTCATTATGTTGCAAAAATCGGAATATTGCTGAAAAATACAAAATTAAATATTATACATCACATATATTATACATCATTTATGCATTTATTTATCTTGAAGTAGATAAGTTAGATAAGTTCTATTTAGGTCCTACTGCTTTCTCATTTATTTCTTAAACGTTTCAAATATTTATTATTAACATTTTTTTCGAGAATTTTTTCGAAATACTTAATTGCTTAAATACTTCTCTTTGAATACTTTTAAATTATATATTAATATAATTTTTGTAGTTTTTCTTTCTTAAAATATAAAGTTTTTTTTCTTAAAATATAACGTAAAATTAAATAAAATTAAATAAAATTAAAATATAAAGTAAAATTAAAATGTAAAATAAAAAATAATTTATACAAAATTCTGATTCTACTTCTCTCTTTGATTCTTTAAAGTATACTTTATCTTCTTTCTTTTCCACCAATTTATTTACCGGATCTTTAGCCTTCGACAAATTAACACGCAATATTATTTCGTTGCACCCGCTATTTATAATTCTTTTTCCTGATTGCGCAATTATTACCCTTTGAAAAGAACCAGTTGTGAATAAAAATATTCTTTTTTAAACGAGAAGTTACGACTATGAACAACTGTAATAAAACTTCACACACAAAGATTAAATGTATATTTGTTTTAGCAGACATTTAAAGAAGCTTGTTCTTACTTATTTCAGCCATGTTACTCTCTGATCTTCCAATCATGATATATGTTAAATATATCAGTTTACATAGTCGCAAAACGAAGCTCACAATGATCTGACGTATAAATTAACGAATTAACGTAAAGTTGCAGTACACAAACATAAGCACGTAATATTTCTTGTGATACGATATTTTAAGAAATGTTGCCTAGTCGCGATGATTGCATTTTTCTAAAATTAGTTAAAGGCGATCTTGAATAATAAAATGGAAATTTAATTAAATTATGTCAAAAGTCTTATGTAGAGAATAATGAGAGAGACTAATGATACAGACTCATTCTATTCGTGTGTTTAACTGCATTCCTGCTTCAGCAATTGCATCTCTTCACGAATTAATTACAATTACGCATCACGAGAATAATTCAGTAATGGATATAATTTAATTTTTTACTGTGATATAGTAATATAAAATATATTCTGAATTGTAAAATGCAGGGTATTATAGAACTTTCGCGATTCTCACATTGTTGTCAAATTTTTTAATTAATTCACATATAATTTATAACGCGTAACGCAATTTTAATTAACCGTATAATGCGAATTTATTGCAAACACATGGAATATTCTCGCTCTCTCTCTCTCTCTTCTCATCGTTGCTTCGATATTTTGGATCTTGCTTTTAGCTTTCTGCTGACATCGCAAACGTTGATATCTTCATACCTGCAAATAGACATAAAATACATACGTACTTTGGAAAGGAATGTCAAAAGCCATGAAGGCATGCTTTTCCAATATATATAATTTACACTTTAATATATAAACTCTAAAATAATATCATAAATTTGATGTACAGTTCATTAAAATGACAAGTTTATTTAATCATCTTTATACGTTATAATTACATATCTAATATGTAATTTTGTTGAAAAATAATATAAATAAAAATAATATCGGCGTCTCGCCGATTATCAACGGCTAATTTACTTAAAACTGTAACATTCAAAGCCCTCTCAGCATCATTAGCATTAATAAACACAGTTAATTAAACATTTATTCTCTGTTTGTTAATAAAAAGATACGTATTAAATAAAAATGTGCGTGAAATATTATATTAATACAGAATTCAAAAATGTTCACACCACTCAAAAGGATATGTGAAAGAGGAAAATGTGAGCAAAGATATAGTGCGATACGTAGCTTCCGTAAAAATTTACAAAATTCACGTTTACGTTGGTTCCAAATCTAATTACGTGTAATTTAACTTTCATACATCTGGAGTCTATGTTCTTGTACTTGTGAAGATTATTCAATCTGATACACGTAAATGTACTCTTTCAAAAACCTAGTTACCTGTGTTTCTCATTATACGGATCTTCTTGCGACATCTTCCTCCGGAATCCTGTCTCTGACCTTCCTCTGAACATGGTTTTTGTGGTTGTTCTTGCACATATACAATCCTGGCATTATGGTCCGGATAGTGTATTTACATTACATCCTTATTCTCCTGGCAGACTGTCAGTGGTATCAAGGTTAACGACATTATCGTCACGAGCATTAGCAAAATGTCGACGAAGAATTTTCGTTTCTAAATGAAATGATAATTTAGAACGCAATAATTTGGAATGCAAAAAGCAGAAACGAAGCAGAAAACGTCTATGCTTCTGATTTCGTACTTTTTTTCTTTCTCGAATCTCTCTTCTAAACCGTCGTAATTTAAATCTTCAACGCCTTCTCGCACCTAGCCTTCTCTCGTTCCTTTACTTATTTTGACGTAGTATCTCGCAGCTTTTGTTGTATCTCGCATGTTTCTTATTTATATTCTAGACGTTACTTCCAACGTGATACACTTTGCATTATCACAATAAAAATGGAAATTACGCAAATTAAAGTGCTGCTCACGGTCAAAGTCCACTGACTATCAATATCATGAATGAACATCGTAGCTAGAAAGTCCCATTACTCTGCCATGTAAACGTCTATGAAAGTTTAACAGAAAAGAAGTGGAGCGTTTATGACTCTAATAAATAATGCACTTTGAAATAATATACACAGTAGACAGTTTCAGCCCAGATATCATGCTCTACGACTTGCATCCGACTTGTTATAGCAACCTTCTAGCTACATAACTGACTAATATCGATCTTAGTTGAAGATATTTTTAAAAAATAATAATCTTTTATTGATCAAGGAAGAATAGGTCACTATACATGTAACTGTAAACAACTTTGTATCTAGAATGTCAAGATGAAAATCAGATATAAATATATTTTCACTGAATTTAACATAAAAATGCTTGACTGTTAATACTTTTTCGTGTTAACATTATTATCATTATATTTATAATGATATATTGATATATGTCAAAATCTGATAATAAACGGAACTAATGTGTATTATTTAACAATATTTGTTGTGGATTTTTTTCTACATGTGGTAAAAATTATTATTAAACTATTAGGGAAAAAATAGTTCTAAATTTAATAATCCATTCGTCCATTTAAATTTCAATACGCAAAGTGACGTATTTGTGCAAACACTCAACTCTGTGATTTTTTTTAATTATTGCTGGAATTTATTGACGTACGTACATGGATTTTTGTTTTATAAAAATAAACGACAAAAGATGTCGATAGAAAAACATAGATAGAACGTATTTTTTTACAATAAATTTTGATTCATATTATAATACAAATTATTTCGGCGTAATTATATATAATGACAATAATATAATATAAAGAATAAATAATAGACAAAGATATATATAATCGCATTAAAAATGAAATAGTTTCTTCCTTGAATAATGCAAAATGGATAAATACTCTATCAATCTCTTGTCGTCTTTTGTTTGTTGATTTTCATTTTATAATATTCATCGTTTTCAGATGACATCGCTCATATTGTCGAATCTGCAAACAAACAATAGTAGTTTGAATGAACGCAGCAATAAAGTTTTTGTGTCCGGCGATATAAAAAATGAATTATGTGTGCGCCAGCTTTAAATTATTTTTTTTCACATGCGCATCGTAAATTTTGTTCTTGTATTCAATCCTATATATATATATATATATATATATATATATATATGTCTGCATATATTTCATATTATATATGAAATGAGCCAAAATAATACGAGTGGCGAAATAAACGTGAAATATGCAGGAGTGTTCCGGTAAAAGAAGCAAAAATACGTGCTTTTCAGAACTAATTTCGATAGAAAAAGTTTTTTACGAGAGGCATAAATCTCTACTAATGAAGTACATTCAAAAACAGATTCAAAAATACATGTCAGAGATACTCGTATTTTAAAATTGGATATTTTGTTAATGTAGTAAAAAGTCACAATTTATCGAAAAATTTTGCGAAGAAAGACTCTGAAAATAATTCTTTCAGCTAAAAATATACATTGAAATTAATTGTGTATTGTAATAGTTTTATATATTTAATTCTCAAATTTTTTAAAAGATTTTCCATTCGAAAAATTTTCTTTATACTTCTGTTAAGATGAATTTTAAAGTTCTTAAAGATTGAATTTTTAAGTTTTATATTTAGTTTTATTGCTGATTTTCTTATTACGTGTTTTTCTCTTTTTTTTTTAAATTTCCATGACTATCGGAAAAAGTTACTACGTCGATGTGTCACATGTGCCTAGTTCTATTTATTTCGGAGATCTTTCGACATTTTTCATTCCAATTGCGTTACCGATCAGTCGAACACGGAATTACTGATCGAGCACGAACCGACATCACTGTTATATGCGACCCGAGGGTTTCGAATCCCTTCAACTGTCGTCGATTTTCCAGTAACAAACTCTTTTTGTTTTCCCTTCGACAACGATGACAACGCGACTGTCATCATCGTCACGGTGGGGATTAACAACGCAGCTCCAAATTTTCATTTTTGCGATATTCACGCGAAACGTTTGACCTCGATTCCGCCAAACGGCACGTATGACGTATGAAATATCTTCATTAAAAGGATGAAAGCGCTTTTCTCGCTAATCCCCCGTTATTTACAAAGACGTCGTCGTTAATAACGCTGAGCAATGATTATTCATTTCTCCTGAATATTCTAATTTTCATGAGAATTCTTTCATCTCTTTCTTATATATGTCTCCTCTTAATCTCTCCGGCAAAACCGCACGGATTTACCATGTTTAATTCCCCTTGAGGCTACTTCTTCAGATTTTGCAAGACCAATCGGCATCTCCCGTTCCCGTCACGTCGCTGACCGGATGGGCAAGGATATTCCGGCACCGTAATGATATTAAATGGAGATATCGTCGCCGCTTCGGTGGTAGATGAACCAGCTTGATTTCTATTCGATGGCACCGATGACACGATGCTCGTCATTGTCACGATAATCGTTAAAAATACAAAATACAAAATACAAAATTTCATTCTCGACTTTTACTTCACAGAATGCAAATTGTCTCAAATGTTTGCAATCGCCTCGATGCGATCTTTCCAAATGACAACCGCGTACAACGAGTAGTGCCGAAAAGGCAGAGTTTATAAAGTTACACTAATGACGCTGCGCAATGACTGATTACTATTCCATCGGGGATTCCGAATTCTCCAAACCAAACCGTAATAATCTCCATTTGAAGAATTACATCATATTTACATGATAGCATAAATCAAAGGTGAAGCCTCTTCGATAAGAACTTGTCACAACAAACGTAATCTCGCTGGTCTTCAAATGATAACCGAGTAATAATAAAATTCTTTTAATTTACTTTGTATTTCTAAATGAAAATATAATATTTAGAAAATCTCGTCACTATTCTAACTATAAATTAAAATATTGTATTAATTCTTATCTTGTATTAATTCTTATCTTCTTAAATATATACATTTTTTATTTTCTTAATTATGTATTCTTTATTTCATATATCGTTTATTTTCTTAAACAACTTGGCTTTTTATGTATTTATAATCGATTTTATGCATATTCTGTATCTGCTCTAATTTTAAATCGATTTTTCTGAAACTATTTATTATCGAGATACTTCTTGAAAAATAGCCAAGAATCTCAGTCGAAATCGTTTAACATATTTTACTTAAGGTTATCAGTATTACTAAGTATCGTTTTGCATTTCATATGTCCGCGAGAAATTCTATAAATATGCATGGGCATATTTATTTTGTAGAAAATATCGAAGAAAATATCTTGTTTATGAAATTGTGTGAATATCGAAATTACCAAACAATCGAAGTTATCAGTAAAAAAAAAGAAAGAGGGAAACGTATGTGAAAATTGCATTCGGCAAAGTACATAAAAAGTTAGAAATATTTAATAAACAATAAAAAGTTTTATTCATTTATTATTGTTTAAATATTTCTGAAGTTTGTGCAGAAAAAAAACTTTATTCATATTTTACGAAGTCAATTTTACAGATGGTTAACTTTTTGTTGGCGAAAGACTGTTGTGCAAGAAACGATTGACTTTTATGATGGTAGAATTTGGCTTTTCACTCCAACAAATATTTGACTTTTGCCGCGAATAAAGTTTCGCTTTTAGTAACGAAATAGGTAGTAACGAAATAGCTTAAAACAAGCCCAATATATCTCTAGTTTTCAGATTGGAAAAAAATTTGACTGGACAGAGAACTAGATTGATTTTTCCACATAAAAAACATTTAGTTTTTAGTAGAAAATTTAATTTATAAAACAAACACAAAGCTCTTAAATGGAAGAAATTTATTTAGTTTCTATGAAAAAAAAATTTAATTTCCTTTCTTTTAAGGAAAATTGAGTCCTTATTGTAAGAGTTGTTTTTTTAAAAGGTTTTTTTAGATTCATCTTTTTTACGTTCAATAAAAAAATCACTCTCAAATTTAAAAAAGTTGAATTTGCGATTGAAAAATATTGAACAATTTCTAACAAGGTAGCTTTTAGACGAAAAAAATGTAAAATTTAATCCTAGAATGTAACAAAATTTAATAAATTATTAACTTTTAACGTTCATTCGATAACTGTTACGTTGTTTTCTAAATATATCTATTTTTATATAAAAGTTTGTTTTTTAATTTTGCAATAAAATCATGTATAGTTATAGTTTTTTTGCGAAAATAAAATCATGTTACTTGTAAAATCATGTTAATTATTCTTGGTTTATTAATTTCAAAAATTATATTAAATTTTAAAATAAATACCAGACATTGCAACAGAAATTTAAAACGAAGAATACAAATTTTTTAAAGAGAAAGAGAAAGCAAAAAGATTTAATAATATTTAATATTTTAAATAATTAGAATTTTAATTAAGCGTTAGTTTCAAATTTCACATATTGTTTAAAATTATCTTAAATTTTATTATTCAACTTTAAGTATGATATTCCGAAAAATAATGGTTCGAAAATAATTAATAATTAATTGTTAACATTCTTTTTTATCAGCAATTACTCCACTGACATGTTACTAAAATTCATTAAATATCGAGCTATTTGAGGATCGCTTGCACGAGCTGAATCTCACGAGCTGTCAATCAAAGGTTTCAAGATCGCTGGTGCAGAAAAAATCAAAAAACAAACTAACCGTATGAAACATTAATCAATACGCAATACGCGCCTCCATCGTCCGTTTTCATCACGGCGATACTTCTTTCCATCTTTCTCGATCTCGACGTTATTTTGTTCCGGCACAGTGATGATGTTCCTCCTGACTCGTCTTTCTCTTCCGCTTTCAGTGTCAACCGGCGCCTCGGCCGACAAAATGGCGTCGATTTTTCGCGTCTTATCCTGCGCGATTTCTTCCACTTTTTCACTGTCAGCCGCCGGCGTTCTTTCAGCCATTGTAGCGATTCCTCGATTGTCGGATCCTTAAACGATTTTCGATAATCCTATTTTTCCCTTTAATCTGCCGTCAAATCTTCGATGGATCCCTGTCTTTGACTCTTCCAGAATCCGGCCGTTGCTCCTGAATATTAAATAATATTTGAATTCTAAATGGCATCTTTAAATCTTAAGAGAGAAGAATCTTAAGAAGAGAGAAATAAAGAACATGTTTTATTTCAAGCGATATTCTGCGATACATTATGAAATTTTGAAAAACTTTTGAATACTTTAAATTAAATACAAAATTTCATCTTTAAATTTTTTATTAATTATTTTGGAACTCATATATTCTTTATTTTTGAATTACATTCTTAAATAAAGAAATTTAGTTTTGTATAATATTTCATGACATTTAAAAAAAGTATTTTTAAACAATTTTTATTATTCTTATATTTAGAATAATGAATGATTTTCCAATTTTTTAGATTATGTTTTCTTTAGTTTTAGAAGAAGAAACCAACAGCCCTAAACTCTGAACAATGTTCCTGAAGAATGAAAGCGGTTAAACTATCGTTTACGCTTTTATAACAGCGATTCATTCTTTTATCGCTTATTAGAGCAACCGTGAAATGTTCCTACCGCATTATCGATTCCATCATCCTTTATTGCCACATGATGAAACTCGATATTTATTGTCTTACGTTATCAATATTTTAAATTTCTCTCTGTTTCAGATATATTGCATATGAAGAATAATATTTAATCGATAAAGTTACATTTTCTTTTTGCGGTAAACGCGTTCGCGTATCAAATTGATTGGATGTTTTATTTATCTCAATTCTAACTTACAATAAACCGCACATCGTTGTAATTTAACTTCTCGAGTTTACAATATTTTCACGTCACTCACGAAAATGTATTTTCTAGCGAATGTACAGCAGATATAAAAATGGCACGTATTCCCCTGTTATCGGGTATTTCGCGTTTTACGTCACATAAACAAGAATTGTACGAAAAGATTTCAAATTTTTTTTCTTACCGGAGAAATCAATTTGTAGACGTATATTTAATTATCTGCGGATATTTGTTATCGACGTTGAAAATATTACGGCAACCTGTTACGACGAACGTGTTTATCTCGATACACGAACGTGTTATCTGTCGGCGTAATTTATCGCGTTTCTCACGCTGTCCCTTCGATTTACCGTCCACGACGAATTCACGACGATTGAGGTCCCTCTCTTTTTCCTCGGCCGCTCGATACTTCCTCTTATCGTTATCGGTTGCTATCAATTGGCAAACGCTAAGCCTTATCGCAAATAGCCTTTGCGCTTTTTATTGCGATTGAAAACGATTTCTGGAATTAGAGGTGTTCCGAGGAGCCCTTCAGCTTCGACGAAGCACTCTCGACGACTATTGCGGGACGAAAGGCAAACGCCGCCGCTGTCGCGAAAGTAAATTCAAGCTACAAACGTGGCCAGGAAGAATGGAAGAGAAGAATGCAGTTGCAATGAATTACAGTTAGGTTAGGTTAGTTAGGTTAGGTTAGTTAGACTCTGGAAATTGCAGCTGCCATGGGGAAAAGTGTGGCAGGCAAATAGAGAAGGTCGTGCGATCGACTTACTAGAGATTCCCCTTTAATCTTCCAGTAGCAAGCGGCGAAATCTCACGAACTTTCGCGAAGGAAGTCCGAAGCCTTTTTCTCGGTTTCCGGAGAAAAATAGTTCGGTTACGTCGAACGATTAAATCGAACGGTTAAATGCACGTGCTTGTACTAAACTAATTTTTTTTTTCCAGAATCAAAGATCAATCTAGATTTAGTTCTCTATCATTCACTTTGGAATTAACTTTCTCAAGTTAATTCTTGAAAATTTAGTTACAGCAGTTAAATCTTTTAAATAATAGAAATGATAATTTGGATTATTTATTGGCGAACATAAATTGAGAAAAAGAAATTCAAGGATACTAATCGTTGATACTAATTTTTAGGAAAACCTTAACTCTTTAAAATAGGAAAAAGATGACGAAGAATACTTGGAAGTTCGAAGTTTGTTATCGGAGCATTTCATAAAAATTTACTTTATAACTATTTGAACCAATAGTTATTTTTTCGATTTCACCCATTTCATAAATTTTTCATAGGATGCGATTTTTTGAAATCGCTCCTTTCAAATAAAATTTGATATTGTGACAAATAATTATGTATTTATAAAAAAAAACGCTTCAATTTTGATTTTATAATTAAAGTGTAAAAAAATTTTGTAAAATAAAAATTTTTAATTAATTAATAATTAAATAGTATTTTTTAAATCTAAATGATTTGAAAAAAGTAATATTAATGTAAAAATATTGAAAATAGCATATGGGTAACATGTGTAACGTGAATATTCATATATGTAACGCTGAACATTTCGATATACTTGAAAGTTTCAGAAAAGTCTTCAACTTTCGTTAAATGTATAATTTTTCATGTCAAATACAGAGAATGAAAAATTAAGTTTATAAATCGTTATTATTTCACTTCGCAACTACTTCAAACATTGGTGATTTTTTCATTTCTTTTTGTATATAATGCTCTGTGAAAAAACTTCCGTCAAACTTCTGCAGCAGGCAATTTATTGATAAATTCGTAACCTTTTCGCAACTTGGTAATATTCACCACTGGACATTTTAATAATCGAGTTTTAAACTAAAATTCTGTTAAAGGAGACGTTACTTAAAAAATAATTGACTGCGAAGTGAGATATTGTCACTCGTCTGTATCGTCGAGCCTGGCAAGCCTGGAAGTTTCGATAGGAAAAGATCGACTGAATTTGTCAAAGGATGTAGCCTTCCTTGCAAAGTTTGATGTTATCATAAAATACTTGAATATTCTATGCATCTCTGAAACATCCTCTCTCTGACTTCGTGTTATTTACACCGAGGGTGGTGCTTCGATATTACGAATTTATGTGTGAACTCGTTAAATAATTGCGAAATACGACGTAACGCTATTTTCTTCGCGGGGATTTTAATTGAATTACTTAATAGGAGAGCAAACGCGTTTCCTTGCCATCGTCATGCGAAAAGTAAATTCCGGCCGCTTGAAAGTCGGATAGCGAAGAATGGAGCGTGGTTACAATGGACTACAATTAGGCTACTAAAATGGGGCGAAATTCTTGAGGAAACGTCGTTCTCGAGGAAACGTCGCGCTGCCGCGCGCAAATAAAAGACGACATATCTTCTTTCTAGATCAATTTTCTAGATCTTGGAGTGAAAACAACCAATGTGATTTTACGGGGTGATAAAACAAAGGCGGTCTTGTTATATTCAGTGTATGGAATATTCATTCATTTGTTTAAACCGCGAGACAACTCCGCTTGCTTTCATTGAAACAATATTATCGCGGATTACTGGCATAAATTAAATGCCAAGTATGTAATTTTCATTAAAAAGTCTATATCTTGTAATGGGAGTTAAAAGCGGAATGAATTTTGGAAATGCTGAGACAATAGAGTTGCCCTGGGTTTTTGTTGAAGTTACAATTTGCGCCGATAAAAGCTTTTCAAGCTGTCGAAATTATGGAGCAAAGTTGCATTTACAAATCTCCATTGTCTTATTCGGCAGTTATTGCGCTTATTTAACAAAATGTTCGCGGCTTAAAAGGCAAAAATGATAGGATACGGTTTTATTTATGCAGCTCGTCGCTGAAAAAAATTACGCGAGATGTGGCTTGATGTTGAACGCGGTTATTTTACCAGGAATTATGATCGTACATCGTCTCGTCATCTTATACATTCAGAAAGTACTTACCTACTTTCTATCTTAACCTCTTCACAAAATACGAGATATATAAAACTTATTTTTCCGCTTCGTTAATGTGAATTCGGAAAACTTTGAAAATTCGAAGAAAAAAGAGACGTGGACAATTAAGAGTAACTGTGGAAAGTCAGAAAATTTTCAAATCCCTCTTGTTTAGTAATCTTAGCTTGGTGGCAGTCAGTCCCAGTCGTTTCCGCGACAACGAGAATCCGTAGAGCATCCGTAGAGGATGCGACGCTTTGTGGAGACTGCGAGGAGACTGCTTACCTTGTTGCGAATGAAATTGTTTTCACGACCGCCTTCGCTTAGTTAGTTTTAACAGAATTTCGCCTCCACGAGCTCGTTCTCAACGTATCCTTCTCGCCGTCTCTCTCTCTCTCTC